GTATTAGGAGTCCAGGCGTTTGGAGGTAATTAGGATTAGATGAGGTCATGAGGGTGGAGCCCTCTTGAATGGGGTTTTAAGAGTCTTTATAAGAGAGCTTGCTTCCTCTACTGTGCTCTTCTCCACGCAAGGATATAAAAATTAACAGTTTTTCCACAAATGTTTTTGGAATAGAGATAATTACCATACAAATATCCCACCCCATCCATAGTTTATGTAGTGTAGTATTTAATGTTTGTTTTCTCTTATACCTGTATCTCTAGAGATCTCGCATGTTAAAAGATCAGGAGTAATAATAGGACTCTTGACATAGAGTTAAATCTATCATTTCCATTAATACCAAAATTAAAGTAAAATTTCATCTACAGCCTCATTATAAACAGTTTATCATCTTGAAAACTGTTCTCCTTTGCTTTATTTCATTTATTTAAATTTTCAAATGCAATTTATTTGTGTCCATATAAACTTTCAAACTAGACAAGCATGATAAATAAGTCAATTATGCACGTGTTAGAAGGTAATAAGTGCTAAGGGGAAAACAGAACTGGGTTAAGGGAGATCAGGAGTCCTGGGGGAAGGTTTTCAATTTATTTTTTATTTTTTAATTTATTTATTTTTTGTCAATCCTCACCTGAGGATATTTTTTCCATTGCTTTTCGGAGAGAGTGGGAGGGATGGAGGGAGGGAGAGAAACATTGATGTGAGAGAGACACATCGACTGGCTGCCTCCCGCACAAGCCCCAACTGGGGGCAGGGAGCAAACCCACAACCCAGATACGTGCCCTTGGCCAGGAATCGAACCCGAGATCCTTCGGTGTGCAGGCTCTAACCACTAAGCAACACTGGCCAGGGCAAGGTTTTCAATTTAAAAGGTGATGATCACAGCAGGATTTACTGAGAGGTATTGTTTGGCCAAAGACCTTAAGGAAGAAAGGGAGTGAGCTATGAGGATCTAATTAGTGAAAGGGAACAGATTAGTGGGAGTCAACTTCACCTTTTTAATTTTCACCTCCCAGCATATATTTCAGAATAAGTTTGGAATTTTAGCAAATGAAATTCTATTTATTATTATGGAACAGTGGAAATCAAGACGACTTCCTGTAAGTATTGTGTTTATTAATGAAAGCTGTTCATCCTCACTAATAACATCATTGAAACCTTGCACTTGAAAAACATGCCTCTTGAAAATTCCAAATTCCAGAAAGGATGTTGTATCTTCTGCTGGTATCTCAGGATTTGGTGATTAAAACAGATAATTAGTACCAGCTTGTTAGAGAACTGGGCTGTCATCTAGAGAAAGAGATGTAAAGAATCTTCACAGAGCATTCAAAAGTGGAATTGTAGGTTTGCTCTTCAGAATCCAATGGCTTTTGGAAAAAAAAGAGAAGCCAACAAACACGCAGCTGCTTTGATTTGAAAAATTAATGTTTGTCTCTGATGTTGAGCTGTGCAGTGTCAGCCATTTGCGGTATAGAGGACTTTGACATATGCAGAAGGGAAAGCCAAGAATATCTTCACTATTAACTGGTCATCTTGTTTTACAGGCACACAAAAAGTCCCTTTGGACAATTGAACCCAGTGAAGGCACCGTTCCCCCGGAAGCTGACGTTCAACTGACACTGACTGCCAACCTGAATGACACGCTGACATTCAAAGACACGGTCATTTTGGAAATTAAAAATAGCAACACCTATCGGATTCCTGTCCAGGCTTCAGGAATTGGTTCCACCATTGTTTCGGATAAGCCCTTTGCCCCGGAACTCAATTTGGGAGCACATTTCAGGTAGGGAAGTCTCATGGATGAATTTTCATAGATAACCACACATTGCATGAGCTGAGCATCGCCTCGACTTATGGCGCCTTCTCAGTGACTGATCTAGAATCTCAACCATGATTTCTCCTCTCTGATTCCAACACACTGTTAATCCCTCTCCGTGTACGTAGAAAGTATAGGTGCATATTAGTGGTAACCTAAGTAGAGTGTAAGTAGGAAGGTAAACATTTATTGTAAATGTTTCTTATCAGGAAGTGCAACTTTGTTGGCATTTTGACCTCTGCTTGCCTCCCCACTAGAGCACCAACAATCAAGACGGCTGCAACTGGCTCTCCCTGATCACTCAGAAAAAAGTAGAGCATCTAAATATTTAAATAAAAGGTGGACGAGTATAGACACCTCTGAGCAGAATGATCTAAATGTGGCTCTAAAAATGTATGACGTCTGAGTGATAACAGGGGGGATATGTGTGGGGATCTATGCATAGGTCCCCAGAAGAGCCACACGCCTGGGGAGTGCAGGTGAATTTTGTACCTGTCCATCGTAATGCTGTGAACAGATCTCTGGTCTAACAGGCCCTGAAACCAAGATGGACACACTGTGCTTAGAGAAGATGAGCCTGAAAAAAATCAGTTAGGAGCCCTCCCACAAACCCATTCACACCTCCTTCCCCCTGTTCCATCTATAAACCATGACTTGATTGAAAATACCATACGCCACGAGGAATTATGTTTTCAGAGAAGCATCCGTTATAGTTTTTGTGTCAACTAGATATAAAAATGCTCCCCTCTGCCTGTCTATTGACCATAAGTTAGAGCATTTCGTCAATGCATTCCTTGCTTCTATTTCCAAATTTCTTTAAGTACACTCAAACATAATTATAGAAGCAGTATGCTGTGAACCAGACTTGATTACATAGTGTTCTCTGTAATCTACAAATAGTGTCAAATAGCCCCAAAGGGTATTCTGTCACTTGCCTGGAATTGGGAAGTTTAGCCTGTAGTTTTCTATAAATATAGAAGCAAACTGTGGCTTTTTAGCTGCCAATTTCCCCTCTGCCTAAACCCTGTCATTCTTTTTGACATAAAATCATGATGCCAGCAATCTCCAAAAGAATCATCAAAAGCAGAGGACATAGAGGGAATAAAAGGTGAGGAAAGCCCTGGCTGGCATGGATCCATGGTTAGAGCGTCGGCCTGTGCACCAAGGGGTCTCGGGCTCAGATTCCAGGTCAAGGGCAGGTACTTGGGTTGCAATTTTGACCCCCGCCCAGATCAGGGCGTGTCTTTCTCCCATCAATGTTTCTTTCTTTTTCCCCCTCACCCCTTCTTTCCACTCTCTCTAACAAAAACAAACAAACAAACAAAAAAATCAATGGAAAAAGAAAGGTGATGAAAAAATAAAATTAAATTTTTTAAAAAGAGGGAGGGGAAAGAAGCAGAGGTGGGCTAACTGCAGCCACTGTTTCTGTAAGTAAAGTTTTATTGGAGCACAGCCGTGCCTATTTGTGTACACATATTTTCTATGGCTGCTTTCACACTGCAGTAGACAGTCGAGTAGTTGTAATAGTGACCGTGTGGCCCAAAAAGTCCAAAATATTTATTATTCAGCCCTTTATAGAAAAGTTTGCCAATTTGGGGACATTCAGGTCTTAAAAAATATCCATATGCTACCTCTTCTGATTGTATGTTTTTAGGCAATGTCCTTAAATTCTCAGAGCTTCTCTTTCTTCATTTATAAGAGTAAATATACTTATTACTGGGTTGCTGTGATGACCAAAAGATATACTGTGAATAAGTTGCAGAGACCCTGCCTATTTTATAAACAGTACCTATTATGTATTATTTTCCCCGAAGCCTGCTCTTAGCCATGAAGTCAAACTAATGATTCCACTGAGCATGCCCTGTGGACACATATCTAGAATGAAATGGTTACACCTGACAACTGGCAAATACTCCCAATTATTTATCTGATGCTTCAAATTATGCATTAGACATGATATCATTTCCTAAGGAGGAACAGATGGGATAAAATTTCAAAGCCCAATAAAAAAAATTTTTAATTTAATTAAATCCTGAGATGAGCCCAGCCGGGCGTGGCTCAGCAGTTGAGCATTGACCTGGGATCCAGGCGATCGGGGTTCAATTCCTGGTCAGGGCACATGCCCAGGTTATGGGCTCGATCAATGACTCTCTCATCATTGATGTTTCTATCTCTCTCTCTCCCTCTCTTTTCCTCTCCCTGAAATCAATAAAGATATATATTTTTTTTAAAAAAATCCTGAGATGAGTTTTCTCCCTGAAAAAAAAGATTTCTTTTAAAGTTCATAAATCAGTAAAAAAATCCCAAACAAAAATACATTTGAACTACCTCCACCTCCAAGATCTTAGAAATTCTAGTACTTGACAGAGAGCTAGACAATCAAGAGTCCTTAGTAAATATTTGTGGAATAGATGAATGAGGAAGTGAAACAGCAGCATCTTTAAAGCAAGTTAGTCTGAGAAAAATGACCAATCGGGCCCTACCTGGTTTGCCTCAGTGGTTTGAGCATCGGCCCATGGACTGTAGGGTCTTGGGTTCGATTCTGGTCAAGGGCACGTACCTGGTTTGCATGTCAATCCCCTGCCCCAGTCAGGGTGCGTGTGGGAGGCAACCCATCAATGTCTCTCCCACATCGATGTGTGTGTGTGTCTCTCCCTCCCCTTCCACTCTCTCTGAAAAGCAATGGAAGAAATATCCTTGGGTGAGAATTTAAAAAAAAACAACAACAATCCAGCTGATATTCTGGTCCATTACAGTTCCCTTGACCTTTGATAATGCTTAGAGGACATGTGTCATTTCTCTCCGAAGTACCCTTCAAGTTGAGCCCATCACAAGATATTTCACTCAGTCAGTAGAAATTTACTCAACACAGTGTGAAATACCCTTCTCCTCCAGTAGGCATTTTGCTTTTCCTTTCACTCTTCAGGGCCATTTCTTGTAAATTAGAGTGGTTTTTCACATGAACTGTGTCTGTCTGTTCTGTGGCCTGCTTGACCTTCTGGGAAAGACTGAGGATGGGTGGGATCACATTCCCACGGCCCCTTCCCTGGTGATGACAACTCAGTGGCCAAACCCAGGTCCCTGACTTGAGTTTATGCACTTGAGTCGATGCTACTTGGTCCCATTACTATGGTAGCTCCTAGTAGCACCGTGATATAGTCTTCCTACATTAAAAAAAAACATTGTCTATTTCATTGCTCATTCTTAAATGCTTCGAGAGGAGTAAATCCCAAGGGTATAGAGCGGAACAGAACATCCCAAAGTTGAGTTCTCTCCATATCTGCCGCCTCTTTTCCAGCCTGGACACCTGTTACTACCACTTCAAGTTGGCCAACAAGGGACGTCGGGTCCACCAGTTGTTCTGGATGAATGAAAAGTTCCATCCCCAGAACAAGCTGAGCAAGAAAGGTGTGGCTAAGAGGAGACTTGCTAAGAGCCGCAGCTCCCAGGCGCCCAGGGATCCCCAGAGCCCCGTGTTTCAGCTTCGTCCCGTCAGGATGGAGCTGTATCCAGACCAGACGATCGATGTGATACTCGACGGCTATTCTGCTACTCCCAGGGTAGGAGGGCACAGCATGTTTAGAATCTTTCTCCTAAATAAATCTTTGCTGTTTCTTAGGGGAGTTCCTTGACATTTATCTGGAGAGAGGATGTGGTTTCTTAAGGATTGCATGCAGCCCTGAGTTACCATGGCAGCACCCACTGCTTTTACAGTTCAGCTCTGCTCAGTTTTATATTTGTTTCTACAGATACCATGAACCCAACCTAAAAATACTAATTAAAGCAGGTTCTCATCCCCAGGGTCAGCAGTGACCAGCCAGCAAGTCTGTGGGAGAGGGATACCCAGCATTCTGCCAAAGCTAAGCCTCCAATAAATACTTAGCGGTATTCATATTTATTACAAAAGGGTGTTTCCATGGACACTCTGGCATGCCTTTCCTATCCAGGTGTCAGGGCATCCCCAGCTCCTTTCCTCTTGGTCTGACATAACAGCATCACATTTATAACCATCGTCTTTTTATGGATCAATAAAAGAGCCTCATGTATCTTCAGCAACTCTGATGTTCTGCTCTTATTTACATGATCACTGTTCTGCCTAAACATTTATGCAGATCCAAACCACGTCTGTTTACTCCTATACCCCCATGGGGACTGGAAACCACCAGAAACCTGAAAGAAACTTTTGTAATTTCCTGTGAGCCTCTTCTCCCTCCCAAACGCCGACTTTGTGAACGAGGACTGATGCTCGCTTGAGCTCCTCCTGGTGTCGCCACATTAGGGGGTGATACTGAACTTTCTCCTCGGGAAACAGGAAACAGTAAAAAGCTAGTCTTACAGCAGACAAGATAGCAGAGCTTGTCCTCTGCTTCCCGATGGAGTGAGTATGTAGGTGGCCTTTCTCTCTGCTCTCCAGGGGTTCAGCCAACAATTACTGAGTGTGCCCCACATGGTGAACAGGGTGCTAGGCACTAGGGCTGCAAAGATGAACAGCCCGCAGCCCTCATTTCCAGACACTGACAGCCTGTTGCAGGAGCACATTTTCAATGTCGTGATTGGGGGGAGCTGACCGTATTTTTACAGGCATTAAATCTGAGCTACTGGGGTTCTAAATTCAGTTTAAGCTTTACTAAAAGCTGCCCTGAATGTTCTTCCAAATTATGCTGCATAGTTGAAAAGGGGCTTGAATTCATTCACATCTGAAACCTGAGCACTCTTCAATACAAGCTATTCGTAATATAAATTCACTTTGGGTTCTCTCTATACGAATCCGGATCTCGAGGGGCGGAGAAGAGAAATATTAGTTTCTATAGCACGATTCTTAAATATTCAGGTATGAAAGGCAAAATTTTTCCAGCCACAGTTTCTGACAGGCTTGATAAGAAATAGAACTACCATCGAGCTCTAAACCCATAGGATTTTATCTGCCTTGTCCATCACCTTTTTGTATGTCCTGTTCCTAACAGTCTATGCATAATACATCTTCATATATATATTTGTTGAACTGAATATAAATTGATTGTGTCCTCAAGAGCAGTCAGAAATGGATGCAGGATCCATCCAGGACATATTTAACCAATCAGACATTAATTATGTGACAGAGAGTGATACCTGAAATGCACTATTCAGAAAAACATGCTCTTCCCTGGTGTCCCCAGGCAGGTAGTTGAGAATCAGTTTGCTGATTGTTGAGAATTAAGTTTTGTGAGCTATGGATATTCTCAAAATGCTATTGGTGTATCTCATCTGCAGCTGGTCAAAGAAAAGCTGGTGTGCCACGCCCTTATCGGGGCACAGAGGGAGAGGAGCTTGGTGATGACTGTGGACATCATCTGTGAGTTTATAGCGCCACTTATCCAGCTCTCCACCAAGCAGCTCTTATACCGACTGGAGAAGGTCAGTGGGCAGTGCTGGGGAGGGCTGGGTGCTCCAAGTGGGGGGGTCAGCATTGTTCACATTTTCATTTGAGAAGCTAAGTTAATGGGAAGCCTGATGTACCCACACCCAGCTGATGTTTTTTAAGCTTCAGAGGCCTGTGTACCTTCAACTAAAAATTCTGAATCTAAACCTACTTTCCTTTGAAATGTAAATTGTTACGGAAATTCTACTTCCATCATTCCTGATGTACAGGGCCAAAGTGAAGGCGTATTCCAGTGCACTGAAAATGTACTGCGGTCGACCACTTCACTCTAATTAGATACAGTAAACATCACAGTATAGAAAGACTTGGACTAGGATTATTGATAATCATAGTAATCAGTAGGAATAGCTACAACTTACTGATTGGTTTGTGCTGGGCGCTGAGCCATAGTCATTGCATTCATTTGCCCAGTTGTCCTGCACAGCATCCTGTGCTGTAGGTTCTGTTATCATTCCCATGATGCATATGAGGAAACCGAGATACCAGTTGTTATGCAGATTACCTAACACTGAGCATAACCAACTTGAACTGTTTGATTCACAGTCTTAGATTATATGGCTCTAAATGTCCATGACTTTATATGGCCGTTAAGGGCAATTAATAAGTGGGGAGGCAGGGGAGGGTTGGGAATGACTGCTGCTCAGGGCAGGGGGTCTGGATAGTGAGGAGAGGAGGGAGGACTCACAGTAGAACTTAACCTACTCCTCAGCAGACTTCCACCATAGAATTATTTAATATTCAAAACAAATATGTGTGGAAAGTCTCTTCTGAGCTGGAGAGTATATTGGTGCTAATTAATCCGGTAAATCAGGGAGACATAGTCAAAGCTAATAGACCGGTTGAGGTTGCAACTGTAAACAAGTAATTAAAATTTAGCCATTTAAATTTACAGTTCTAGCCCGGCTGGTGTGGTTCAGTGGTTGAGTGTCGACCCATGAACCAGGAAGTCACCGTTCATTCCTGGTCAGGGCACATGCCCAGGTTTCGGGTTCGATCCCCCGTAGGGGGCATGCAGGAGGCAGCTGATCAATGACTCTCTCTCATCGTTGATGTTTCTAGCTCTCTCTCCGTCTCCCTTCCTCTCTCTGAAATCAATAAAAAAATAAAAGTAAATCTTCAAATTACAACTCTAAACAGTGCTATGAAGAAGAGGTATAAGTTCCTATGAGAGCACATAGCAGGAGAGTGGCTTTATTTGTACCTGTGGTGACAGATGGCTTCCTTGAGCAGGTGCCTCAAGTTGAGACTTGAAGGAAAAATGAAGTTAGTCTGGTGACAAGAGATGGGGAGAGAATTATAGGCAGAAGGAACAGCACACATGAAGGGCCTTGGTTAGGAAAGAGCTTGGTGAGCACGAAGACCTGAAAGGCCGCCTTAGACGGAGACTATGCCAAGAGTGGCATGAGGCCCATCAAGGAGAGTGGGAAAGGGCCAATGAGTGTGGCATGACCAGGAGGCTTGCTCTGAGTGGCCATTGGTGGGCTTCAGGGAGGGGAGCGACGTGGCCAGATTTCTTTATTGAAACAGTCACGCTGGTTGCTGAGTGGAATAGTTATTAAGGGCCTACCCTGTACTGTGTCAGGTGCTAGGGATACAACAGTGAGGATAGTCCCTCCCCAATGAACCGCACAGCCAACTAGGAAGACCAAGCATTAAGTAAGCCATTGTCCCACAGTGCAATCTATGCTGTCACATAGAAGGACTGGATGTGGCAGCACCTAATCAGTCAAGGGAGGGAATCAACCAGGGTTCCCTTCATTACCTGGAGGCTTGCAGAAAAATGGAGAAGACCATTTATTCTGGTAGTGAGTTCCATGATGTTTTGTTTGTATTAAATATCTATTGAGCACCCGCCGTGGGTATGGCACTCTGCTAGGAGATAAATAAGGGGGCATATAGTCGAGGAGGGGAGGGGAAATGTACAAGTTCAAATCAACAAATAATTTCTGAGCATTTACAGAGTATGAGGCAGCAAAAGCACTGCAAAATCCCAGGCTTAACAGACTACTGAGGAAAGTAGACACTGAAGAAGTTGAGTAAGAGTTTTAGTTACAGGATGCAAAACTCACTGTGATGAGCTCCATGAGACATATTAAAAGAAAATACTACAAGAGTTTCTGCTGCAGTTATTAAGCTTTCATTGCTCTGTTTTAAATTCTTCCTTTTATAACTGATCAGGAAAGATATTTATCGGTGGCAGCTGCACCGAATTTGGTGGCATCATATTTTCTCTCAATGTAGCTATTCAGAGAAAATTTAGTGTATATGTATTGCATAGCTATTCTGTGTAAGACATTGTAGCATATGTTAAATATACAACTTTGCTTCTTATTAGATTTTTTTCTAAGCCCATAAACACTCATAAAAATGTGTGAGTCATGTTCCTTTTCTTCTCTTTATATTCTTAAGCCTTGGCTTTTTTTTTTTTTTAAAAAAAGCGTATTCTTGTTTAACTGTCTATTGTTTGGCTTTATCACTAGACTAAAATAGCAAATATTTTAAATATGGCAGTGACTTACTGAATTAAATAATGAATTGAGTCACAGCTCCCTGTTTGATTTTACCCGTCTCTCCTTCCCCCCAAATATCACACGTTTGAAATCTGTCCAACTACTGTTATTTTTCATTGTTCATTTCCTGTTCACATCTCATCCGTATCAGGGACAATGAAGGATTACAACTTCATTACCCAGCGTGTGCAAGAGACCTGTGAGGTCTCAGTGCTCGGCTTTACTTATATAACACCCAATTACCTATTCCGTGTCCTGTGCCCAGCTCAAGGCAGTGTATCTGATTTAGTGCATGAGACTATAACGATGCCAGCCGTGCCTACGGGAGGAATTTTTCTACGGCCGTTTCCTCAGATTTGATCTACTTTATAACTATTGTGCCGTTCATAAGGCACAGAGATGAAACCACATCTTTGTGGAATTGAAAAGGTCAATTTGAAACCAGCAGCCAGTTTGCTTCATGAGGTCCAGCAGCAAATCCTCTCTCATGATATTTGGGGAGACAGACAACCCAAAGAGAAAGGGGTCATTTTAAAACAGAACGGGTTCTCTGTGCACTGTGTCCTTCTCATCACTGACCCCTAAGTGGCCTCTTGCCCGCACCAAACAAGTGTGGCTCCTTCACTTCAAAGCAGTGACAGAGCAGCCTGGGGGAAGGTCACTGGGTGGACAGTTCTCCATGCGGCCTTTGATGACCCTAAAGTGCTGCTCTATCCCGCCCACGAACTGTAGAATGCGATCTGCAAATGCAGGGTGAGTCCAGTACCTGTACTACCATGTTAGAGGGAGGGAAACAATGGTTGGCATCTCCTGGCAAGTGCCAGACCAAACCCCTGCACCGGGGCTGGTGGATCACAACCGAGGCAGGAGACTCGAGCTAACTGCCTGGGCTGAACGGCTGTGCCTCCCCAAATTCATATATCGAAGCTCTAATCCCCAATGCTATGGTGTTGGAGGTGGAGCCTTTGGGAGGTGATTAGGTCATAAAGGTGGGGCCTCTGTGAATGGAAACTGTGCCCTTATAAGGAGAGATAAGAGAGAGAATCTCTCTCTCAGCCATGTAAGGACACAAGAAGAAGACAGCCATCTACCAGCCAGGAAGCAGGCCCTCACCAGACACCAGATCTACCGGCACCCTGATTTTGGACTCCCTGCCTCCAGAGCTGTGAGACATAATGTCTGTTGTTTAAATCACCCAGTCCGTATTTGTTACGGCAGCCTGAGTTAAGGCACATGGATGCTGGTCACAGGACCTCACCCAGAGCCAGGGGATCCGAGAACCACAGTGCAAGGAGGACTGTGCTGGACAAAAGAGCAGAGACAGAGTCAGATGAGAATTTGGAATCAGGAAGATTCCACTGAAATCAGAACAAGGAGAAAAGGTGAATCAACAGATATGCATCTGTGCACAGCCCATGGACACAGACAATAGTGTGGGGAAGGCC